CAGATAGCAGAGTTGGATTGGGACGTTCACACATTCAGGGCCGGCCCGATCCATTTTGGTGCGTGGCTGTAGAATGGATGTAAAATGGATGTAAAATTCTACATGACTGTAGAATGGATGTAAAATTTGAATAGGGTGCAAATGACTCAGCAAGGTGCTGGGTAATGGTGAATCTGGCCCTTTAAAGCTGTCAGGATTGAAGTTTGGGAGCAAAAAAAGATCTAGAAATCTGTTAGCTACCTTCCTGTGAAATGAAAATATCTCATGTATGATCTTTCTATGCAAATCATAGTGAACAAGCCAGCATGGGCCGTCCTATAGAAATGAAGCTTATTGAAGGTAATAACAAACAATTAGCACCTGAAGTAATAAAGCCAGAAAATGTGCGTATTAAAACATGGGCATTGGATTTAAAGAGATCACACTGTTTCTCTTGGCTAGATGGGCACAGACTTCACTTCTGTTTACTTACTAAATATAAAGTAGGATGAGTGGATGAGAAAGTTGAGAAACTACGCTTCCCCTGTGTTTTTGTATTTACAGTGTTAGGTAACTTATTGAAGCAAAATGCAGGACAATGTAGCACTTTAAAGACTAACAAGATGGTTTATTAGATGATGAGCTTTCGTGGGCCAGACCCACTTCCTCAGATCAAATAGTGGAAGAAAGTAGTCACAACCATATATACCAAAGGATACAATTAAAAAAAAGTTCTATCAGGTAATTTATTAGAAATTCATGCACCATGGGCCACATTCAGACCTGCAGTCAGCAGGAGCAGCTTCCCTGGCTCTGCTGCATGTGGTTTGAATTCAGGGCCACATGCATGTCTCACCGAATGCACCAACTTTTGAATTCAGCCAAAACAATACAGCTGTAACCAAAAACCAAACAGAACGCGCTCCGGCCTTCAGGTGTTCTGTTCTGTTCCTGCAGTCACACAAGACACACAGTGACACCAGAGGTCCCTGGAGTTATTTGTAGTGATGCCCGTGTCCAGTCCCCATTTGGGAAAATGTAGCTGTTATGAATTACTGTGTTTAAGCTCGGATAATGTGCCAGTCATGACACAAGCTCCCAAGTACAGATACTTCTTGCACCAATGAGCTGTCATCGAAGACCCTGATCCTGAAAGCTGTTCCAGTGGGGCTCCATGTGGGGCCAAACGTTCACTTATGGGGAGTAGCTTGCAGGGTGGCTGTTTAAATAAGAGGCCACCCCAGGGGCCTGGTTCTTCTCCATGTTTACATTGGTGTGACTCCATTGATTGTAATGGAGTTGCTCCCTGCTTGTACCTGTGCACAGGACAGGAACATCGAGGCACGTGGTCTGTAGGTTTGTATTGTAACAATAATAAATTATTGACCCAGATGTGCATCAGATACAGTAGTTGTCACCCATTGCTTAGAAACCCAGCCTCCCCCTCCTGCCCAGGCCAGCTGTGCTGGCTGCCTGTAGAGGGCAGCCTGTGACCTAGCTGGGCTCTCCGCTCCCTGGCTCTGGGTTCGCCTGAAGGCTTTTCAAACTTTCGAGCCTCGCCTCCTCCCTTGCGTCATGGAAAAGGCTGGAGTGTGGCAGGGGGACCCAGCTGTGGAGCGGGGCGCAGGACTCCAGGGGTTCGGGGGAGGGCAGAGCAAACAGGGAAAGGGGACCCCGAGGCTGCACAAGGCAACTCCCCCAAACTTACGGCGGGTCCCCCCAAACAGCAG